GGCAAAATAGTAACCCCCAGGGGTGGGGGCACAGGGATTACACATTACTTCATCTAATTCGATTTCGGTTTTCCTCTTTACTTATAGGATCTTAGGGAAAATCATTAAGACATTACCTGCACATTTCTAAATATACAAACCCTCACATGAATGGTAACCCAGATTGGGGCTACGATTACGTAGTGATAAAATCGACTTGGGAAATTTTTTCACTACTGAATGATGTGCCGTCTTTTCCAAGCCTCCTCAATATTTCCCTTTGATTTCGTTACAATGGATGTAGTTGTCTTCCCAGTGTATCTCCCATTTGGGTGCACTTTTTTCGCACGTTACATATTGGAATGTTGAGAAAATATCTGGTGAGTTATTTTCGGGGGCCGATATACATCCTAATGTTGTCCACACACGATGGCACATGTGGTAACAAAGGACCACGTAGAGCGACGCAGAGGGTGTCCTGCTCGCGGGGTAGGCCTTCCCCCCCCGTTACCAATATCCCATAAACTTGGTGACGACAGCCAACATAACAATGATTATCGGTATCAGTTTATTGTCGACGAAAAGCTTGTTACAGTTGCTGTTATATGCCTTGAGTTGATTTTTCAAACTCTCGTTTTCCTTCTCCAGTGCTGCTTTTTGTTTATCCACAAAAACGCAGTAGTTTAGGAGTTCATGATACTTTCTCTGCATACCTGGAAGGCCACCTTTTATGCCTTCAAACGGAGGGATGGGGAAAGGGGAAGAAAAATATGAATATTAGGGTAAGCATGTGTTGGAGAATAGGTGCACTCACCAATTGGCATATATGCCTACAGTGGTGCATGCATCGATGCAGGGAGGAATTCACGCTCTTACGTCCGTTGCACACGCACGGTGAGGCTTGCGCTCGTTTGTACCTTCTGCCATATTGGCATCGTCCGGATTTAAATTATTTTCCCCGTAATTTAAATTGTGATTCTTGTTATGAATTTCCGAGAGGGGGTTATTGTTTGGGGGGAGGTAGGAGTGGGGTCCTTTGCTGGAACTTTCGTCGTTCAGCACAACGACCAACTTATGGTCTTGTATTTCATTTTTATTAACAGTGACCCAGAACTGTTTGTCGACAGTGGTGTGATCATCCACATTTAGACACTGCACTTGAAATTTGTCATTCGAAATGTTGTCCTTATCGGATAAGGGTTGCAATATGATTTGGATATCGATTGTATCTCTTACGTTAATTAGGCCAAAAGATGGTCGAACCAAATAATTGTTTGGCGCCGTGGTTTTAATTTTGAATGCCACCTTCCTGTCGCTTATGTTTTCTAGTTTGACCACTTGCGTCACTGCTTGGAAATGCACCAGGGGAAATTCTATGTTTTTTTCGGGGGTCACTTTTATCAGTTTCATTTTTGCGTTCGCGGGGGGACACTGTGGCTGTGGCTACGGATGCTCCTGCGGCGGCGATTTTGTTGCTATTTTGGTGTTATTTTTGTGCTATTTTTCTGCTACGTCGCTGCTATGTTCCTGCTTATTTGCTCCCCCCTCTTCTGTGATTATCTCGGCCTGAGTTGCTTTCCTCCTTCCCTTCGTCCTTCGCGCTTGTGTGGCTCGTGCGCAGTTCCCAAATTGGTCCCTTCTTCCTCTTCGGTGTTTTAGAAGTCGGTCTCCTTCTGCTCTTCTCGCGCCTTCGCCGTTTTGCTGCCTTTTCGCTGCCTGTCCGCACAATGACCACTTTATATGTTCACCTCTCCTCGCTCCTTTCTGTCCTCCAGAAGTGGCGCCTCAATGTGCTTATCCCGTGTGCGAAATTTGGCCCAGCTTCACTCCAAAATTCGTTTAGCTGCTCGTTGGGTTGTGCAGGCACGTCACAAACATATGTAAGCGTAAATATATGTGCGTACATACCGTGCGGCTGCGGTGTAAAGGCGCGCAGTGCTAAGTATGGCTGGCTCTCCTTAAGCATTAACCTAATCGGGGTGGGTGAGCGAGAAGCGCGCACGTGCGGAGGTTGTACCAGCTAAGCGTACGCAAATGGAAGTACAATGTACGCTTGCAGGGACATGAGCGCATACGCAAATGCATAATGTTGGGAATGCGTGTTTGCGCGAGGGGGGGGGTATACGAATGAGAAAAAATTATGGGATGGTAAAGTGCGAAGAAACGAAAAGAACTGCGAAGCGAAAAATGAGAAATGAATGAGCAATGGATGAGGAATGGTTAAGGAACGAAAATGAGAGATGTCAAAAGCGCAAGCACAAATTGGGAAAAAAAAAGGAAAAAAAAAAAAATGTTAAGAAGCTTATGCGCATATTGTGTTATACACGGGAACCATATGAAGATATAGCTTGTATCTTAATTTTATTTTCTCATTTTAAAGAGGAGGGCTTGCTTAAGCGCAATGCGCTACTTCATGTGAGATATTATATACATAACGCGTATGCACGAGTTAATATATGTAGCTTCGCACTTGGTACGTATGGATAAACGCCAAGTAAAGGGACTCCTGAGCCCTATTCTTCTATACGCTCACATATGTATGCAGTGTTTTAGGAAAAAGGGATTTGCAAAATCACTGCAAAGGCAATGAAGTGAATTCCTTGTACATTGCATGAGGACGAAAAATGTGGGGGGGATGCATACCTGTTATAAAAAAAAAATATATATTGGTAGTGATTTATTGGGCGAATAATGCGTCAAAAAAATAAGAAAGTAAATAAATCAGGGGGGAAAAATGAAGGCGAGGAAAAGAGGGGATAAAACAAGCCGAAGGAATGTAAATTTGTTCCCATGAAAAAAATGCAATTAAGAGAAAGATGTTGCGCGAAGTCTTGTGGGAGTTTTCGGATGCTTCGTAAAGAATTCATTTAATAAGATGTCTTTCACCTTTCTTTTTCTTGAGGCTCTTTTTTTTTTTCTTCCTTTGTGCAATACGCATAAGCGGAAAAGCAGGCAATGTAGCATCATGAAGAGAGCAAAAGTTGTTCCTTTAAAAGGTATATTTCTATATATCCATATGTGTGAGACAAACGTGGTTCAGAGGCTTCTGTGTATAAATTTACGTTATGGGTATATGCTCATCTTTGCATTTTTCGAGGGGATGTGATTGTTCCCTTATGATGACCAAATGGAGGAGGGAATTTTTTTCCAAATGGTTATGTGTTTTGTTTCTGCGTCCAAGGGGAGGCGGAGCAAATGGCGGACGAATACTCCGCGAACCCACATAGCACCATAAGTTGCCTTGCACGAGAAAGTTGCAACATTTTTTATGAATTTAGAGAAAACATAGAAGGGAGTACTTCCGCAATCGGGTGAACGTGCATGAACGGATGTGTGATGAAACTGATAACAATAAAGCGAAAAAAAATTTTGTGTGCACCTTGGTTTCACCCCCCCAGTGGGTCGTAGTTCCACTCCACTATGTTTCTACAAGTTATGTTGTATACCAGGCGAGGCGACAAATAGGGGGGGTTGCAAAATGAACGTAAAAAAAAATTGCCCTCAAGGTTGCTAAAAGAGGCCTAATGGGGATGTGCGGCGTGGGGAGTGTGAGGCGTGAGGCTAATAGTAGGTGAGCGTGATGAAACGGCAAAGGGACACAAAAAATGGGGCCTTACACATTAGTCTATGTAAGCATATATATATGTATATGTGTTTGCCCCTGTTGATGGAGGCCATCGCATTGGATAAACGCTTTGGCGAGTAAATGCACAGCGGAGGAGGGACGAAAAAAAGGAGTTACTACTGAGAGCATTAAGCTCTTTGTACACCAGTGGAAAGATAATCGAGTGAATATACTGCGGTATCCCGCCCCGTTTAAGGACAATCCAAAATGCTTTTGTTTCTACAGAGAACAGCTTCCTTTTAAAAGAATATCGGGGCGTAAAAGGCTGACCTGGCAAGGATTAGACGCCGTAGTTTTATGTCGCCCCGCCTAATCATCCACTGTTTCGTTCACTTCACCGAAATGTATGTGAAAACATTTGCAGTGTTGAATGAAGGACGTGGTAAGTGCGACGCGGGTTAAGGTCCCCATATGGGTGGGGGGCGGAAAATATGTTCCGGGTGACGAACAAAGATAATTTTCGGTAAGGAAAACCCAACCGTATATATGACACATTCGAATTTGCTTTTGCCAGATGGGGGGGGGAAAAAAAAAATAAAAAAAAAAATAAATAATTAATTAAATAAACTGTAACGGCTTTCCACCAGATTCAGTACCACAGGTGTACATGTAGCTTCTTCTTCATGTAGGCATTTCCTCGTGACTATGGTCAGAAGTATTTTCCCATTTCGCTCGTGCAGGGACTGTAGTTCCGTGCAGGCTGCCCTGTGTGCTGTTGCCCCGTACGGGGTTATTTCAGGCAAAGAAGGGGGAAAATTAAGTGAAAAATGGCCACAAAATGGCAAGTAAATAGGAAGTACGCGTGAGCTAGGGTGTTCTCGCAAGGTCTTCCTGAAAACGTCCGGCAAACCGCTAATTTGTATTTTTGGTTATTATCAAATGGGCTACCATTACAGGGGGGGCTTCTGGTACACGTCCGAACTGAACAGGCTGCTTACACTGTAAAAAAAAAAACAATAAAATAACAAAAAAAAAAACATGGTAAAAGGAGCCAGCACTTTTAAGCCTCTTCTATGACGGGTGCTGCTCATCTGGGGACAAAATTAAAAAGGAAAAAAATGGGAAGAGAACTTCTACTCCATTTTGTGCATCTACGTATACCATGCTAGGGGCACAGGAGCAGTTTAACTTCATGTCGTATTTTCCTTTTTAGGGGCGTTTTAAAAATCAGAAGTTTGTCCCAAAAAATTAAGTCCCGCCCCTTTTTTTCTAGCCTTTTCTTCATTCGATTGAGAAGGAGAAAAAAAAAAATATATAAATAAAGGACGCAGATTCGGAAAGCTAAGATGAATTCGTTAAAATCACCCAACGTTCGAGTGCAGAACACAACCCACGAGGCGGCCAGCAGCAAACTGTTACACAAAAAGAGAGAAAAAAAGAAAAAGCAAAAAATAAAATGCAAGACAAGCTAACGAGAAAGGCACACTCTGGAGTTAGAGGCCACCGAATGATATGCTCTCCTGCGGTATCCGTAGATTCCACCGCCGGGCATACAACCTTGTAGACATGTGAGGCGCGATCTTCTTTCCCCCCCTCAGTTCCGCCGTTAATCAAGGATACTACTTGGACCCGTTCTTAAAATATTTTGTCAAAAGGATCGAGAAAAGGAGTCCACTCATAAATAGGGGTTTGTGAATAAAAGCGTTTGCAAAATCGAGGCACGTTAAGATATATTTTTTGGGACCCATTAACGTGTGCAGTTGATGCGGACGGGACGTCGCATGAATCTCTATCGAGAAAGTGATTTCAGGGAAGTAGACCATCCGGCTAGGAGGTCTCTTTCTGCAGCTTAGTTCACCATGTCGTTTTCTACAACTTTTCCGTCCGTTACCGTAGATTGTTGTATATCCCGTTCTGTTGATCTAGCCATCTATCTATCTACCTATATATATATGTATCTTTTTTTTTTTTTTTTTTTTCTTTCCTGCCCTTTTGAAAGGCTATTACGCCCGCGTTGCTGCAGTGAGGCAGTACATTGATCTCTTTTTCAAGTCCCAAAAGGAGGTAATTGTGACGGAGAAATAAAAGCGGATTCATTAAGATGGTGTTCAGTGTACACTTACATGCGCATTTATGCATGTGTATATTTCTACTGGGGCATCTGCATAGATGTGCCCACGACTGCCACACCCCTTGCAGGAAGAACCCGTTCAGGTAGTGAACATCGGAGCCGGTTTGGATACCACCTTCTTTTGGATAAGCGTAAGGGGGAAACGAATTGAAATGAGGAGAACCATGTGGGTGTGAAGAGGACAAAATGAAAATGAGCAAAAGCGGTTGCGAACATGCCAAAGCACAAGTCTTATACCATTTTTTCGCATTCACAGGAACAGCGGAAAAATGTCATCTATTACGAAATGGATTTCCATGAAGTGCTGCGGGAAAAGGCGAACATAATAAAGCGCATCGATGAGTTGAGGGGCTTTCTAAAGGGAGCTGATCAGGGCGACCTGGAGAGCAAACCTGACGTGGGCGAAGATCTCATCAACTGCGCAAACTACAAAATGCTCTCGTTCGACCTGAACAGCTCGAGTCTCCTGGAGAAGCACTTAACGAGTTACGGGTTCGACTTTTCTATCCATACTCTGTTCATTTGCGAGTGCGTTTTAATTTATTTGGAGATAACGAGCAGCGACAGTTTAATAAAAACATTGGCTGGCCTAATGAGAAGCACCTCGTGCATGTTGGTGTATGAACAGGTACCTCCATCAGCGGTGAGGGGAGCGGCGGACTGGTCGCTCAGCAGTGTGTATGACGACCAGTTCTTCGTTCAGCGGCAGAGGGAGCACTTCGAGATGTATTCATCCCGCGAATGACCATTTCTTCCTCTTCACCCCTCCACCTTGTTTTCCTTTTCTTGCAAGGTCAACCCAAACACCGCCTTCGGGAAGGTTATGATAAGCAATTTTAGCCAAAGAGGTATAGAACTTAAAAGCATCTTCAAGTACGACAATTTGGAAAAACAGCTTTGCAGATTTAAATCCCTGGGATGGAATCATGTCTACATAAGTGACATGAACGAGATTTACGATTATCACTTAAGTACGGATGAAAAAAGAAGAATTGAAAAAATTGAAATGTTTGATGAGTTTGAAGAATGGAGATTGTTACAGAACCATTATTTCATACTCGTTGCGTTCAGTCCTTCCGACGATTTGGGCACGAATGCTCTGTATGTTTTTTTAAAGAACATAAAAAATGGGCGGGGAGGATTTTCTCCAAATGTTTGAGCGATACTTATGTAGCAAACGTTGTTTGTCATATGTTTAGTGATGATCGCTCGGTTGTATTTCCCTATGTGATATGTTCCCCACTTCATCGCTTTTTTGTTTTTTAGTGCCCCTCATATTATCCGCTGTCCGGATTGATAAAACTACACACCTGCTTATCATGCGCATTTCGTTGTCGTGTAGACGTACCAACTCGGTGTCCACACGTATTCGTATTGGCATTATTTGCATTTATGTACCACGTGGCAGGCTATGCTAAAATCATGCTGGCTCTCAAAAGGCAGCACAATTTTTCATGGCAAAATATGAATGTTTCGAGCCGACCAGCCAGGGCTTATATTACACGGTGCTTAGCACGCTGGGGGAGTAAAACGCGCAGCCCACGCGATGGCTTACGGACATGGTACAGAAGTTACAGCACTATATTGCGCTATATTTTGCTTTATTTCACTTGGCTCCTTCGTTTCCCTTTTCTTCCGCTTGGAGGGGCCATGGAAAAGATAAATTTCCAAGCTGTCGCCTGCACCCTTGCAGTATGAGTGGCAGCAACTGGGTGGGAAAAAAAAGGAAAAAAAAAAAGAAAAAAATGTGACAAACGGGTATATCTTTTCACAATGAGTACGTACATATTCGCGTTCTTATCACGCAGCACTTACACGCCTCGCAAGTGCTTCATGGTGAAATGCGGTGCCACGTCAAAGTGAAACGTGAAAAATTGCTTCAAGTTAACGTCAACTGCGTTTCGCGGCGAAGGCTTCTTGGCGTATGTCAAACGGGAAAAGAAGTATGCATTTTTTGACGCGCACGAATGAAAGGAAAAAAAAATGTGTAAATGCGAAAGGGAGGGAAATGAAGTGAACACAGAAGAAAAACGCGACTACCTTTTTGGTCATTCGTTCGAACATATCTCGTTTTTAATTTAGTTCTCTGTTTGTGAACAAGGGTGGATTTTCCTCCCATCTGAGCATTGTTGCATTGTTGCATGGTCGCATTGTCCCATCGTTGCATTCTTGCTTGCCACAATTTGAAATTCCTCCCCATGTGGACCTCCCCGCCTTAATAGCGCAAGTGCTAAAGAGTGAGTAGAGAGCATACGATCATAGCACACTGGCGAGTTGCCTCCTGACAGAGAATTATGCCATTTGAACACCCCTACCCGCTCCTCAGTTAAAAGGAAGAAGAAAGAAGAAGCAGAAAAGATAAAACAAAGAACTCGGGCTAACCATGTTTATATTCGAAAGCGCGCAACACTACTTTAACTTCTTCCGGAACTTTAATGGATGCTACACAGATAACAAGCTGCTGAAATATTTTTTTAAAAAGAGTTACAACAACTGGTTTAATGACCCGACTCAGTACAACTACTACTTCATTTCCTACTATGCAGTGGCAATTTCTTTTTCTGTTATGATGAGGAATCTGCTGTTCAACCCGGATGTTCATTTTAGGAGACAGGACAAGAGAAGGAACATTGTTGATCGGTATCAGCACCATGCTTATTCAGTCCCTTACTACAATCACTGGTTAAGAAATTTTAGCCAGTCATTTAAGTCCACACTGATAGACAACGAACCGGATTACCAGGATGAGGACCCTTTGCATATTCGCCCCAAGCGGGTTCAGTTTTACGGAAGGTTTCCATTCTTTTTTGAGGTGCCAAAGTACAGCGTCGATGACCCCTATTACGAGAAGAACTCACATAAGTTCATGCAGAAGTATTATGAGAGCATTGGGTATGTGAAGCCGAGCGAGCCACAGGAGGGTTAAGTCGCCAAGGGGAAGCAGAGGAGCAGGACTAAGAAGAAGACTACCAAAACGATGACGAAGAAAGAACAGAATTTGCCCCAAGGGGAAGGATCCATATAAATGTGTTTGAAAACGTTTGGACGCTCGCACACGACGTGTCCTTTTTTTTTCTTTTTCACCCACTCGATACGCACAGAATTTGACACACACATTTGTGGAGGAGTTGTAACTTCTCCCCTTTTTGTGCCTAAGAAATGGTTTTCCCCTTTTCCCGTGCTGCTTCCCTTCTTAACCTCATACATGATGTTATTTTTAAAAAGTTTACGCATCCCAATTGGTACTTTTAACGAATTGGTAAAGGCGTCAGAGTGGATTGTCCCCATTCCAGCAACGAATATGTAGTGAGGAAAAAAATGACAACGTTGTTTCTTGCATAATGGAAAAAACATACCAGCATTAGGTGCCTATTTGTGAGAAAAACAAAAAAAATAGAAAAATATCCCTTTCGTACTTGTATCACTGTGTTCCCATTTTGTCCCATCCATCTGCAAACGCCGAGCTGCCAAGTGTCAACCAGCGCTGGTTTGGCGCGAAGGCGGAGGTAAGCCAAAAGTGGACTTATCCTTTAAAAAGCGACGCCTTTCCTTGTAATGACATTAACGTTATTTAAGAGGTGGATGATTTTTTTCCTCATTCATTCGTGAAAGTGTTTTAAAAAAAAAATGAAATAAAATGAGATAAAATAAAAAAATATAATGTCCGTACGTGTATGCATATATAACTTTACGCATATACAGTTTCGTGCATATGGGACCAGGGTGACAAATAGCTCGTTCCGTATTCCGTATGAGCATTTAACAAATTTACAAATCTTAAAAATTATCTGTTAAATTTTCGTTAATAGTCTATCTAAAGTGGAATAATCAAAGGGCGAGGGGGGGGAGATGACAATAATGTTTTGCCGTGTGTGTGTGTGGTGATGATGGGCTTCTCACCACATGCGTATGGGGGCTAAATACACATCCTCTTTCGTTGAATGTGTATAAAGTTGCTATAAAAATCAAATTCGCAGTTGTACGTCCCTGTAACACTGATCGAATCACGTTGGATGCGGCCTTTTCTGTGGCCTCCGTTCCGTGTCACCCCATCTTCCCCTTATCTCGCCCCACATTTTTTATTCTATTTCCGTTTAGGCGAGAAAGCCTTACAAAAAGGAGTGCGTCTTTTCCTTCACCTTGTTGCTGTGATATTGCTGCGGGTTATAATTACAAACATAATTATTTTCCTGCACAGAATATTGGTGAGTCGGTTGGTAAGAAACGCCCGGCCCATTAGTGTTCACGTACATTTTGGAGTGCACATTTAGTTTCACGTTTTGTTGAGCAGTGGACTTCAAGTTTTGTTGAGCAGTGGACTTCAAGTTTTGTTGAGCAGTGGACTTCAAGTTTTGTTGAGCAGTGGACTTCACGTTTTGCTTAGCAGTGGGCTTCACGTTTTGCTGAGCAGTGGGCTTCACGTTTGGCATCATGTTACTTAAATGGTTATGTGCGACGCGGTTGTCTATATTTTGGTTAATCATGTTTATGGCGGTATTTTTTGCCACTGTACTTTCTGAGCTATTTAACATTTCGTTTAATGCGTTTTCGGCCATTCTGGCGTTTATCTGTTTGTTCATGGGTGCACTTATGTTGCTGCTTGGTTGGATGTTCAGCTGGCCACTGAATTGGTCGGCCATTCGGCTGGTCATGCGGTCGGTTAGGCGATCAGTTAGGCGATCAGTTAAGCGGTCAGTTAAGCGAACAGTCAAACGGTCGGTCAAACGGTCGGCCATAAGGTCGCTCATATGATCTCTCATCTGATCGCTCATCTGACTATTTAGGTGGTCACTTATGTAGCTGTTTCGAGAGCTACTGTGGTGGTTTACTAATTGGTTGTTCGGAAGTCGCCTTTGGGGGATGTGACTTTTGGGAAGATTACTTTTGGTTACGTGACTTCTGAGGAGTTGAATTTTGGGGTGATGATTTTTGGGGAGGTGATTTTTGGGGAGGTGATTTTTGGGGAGGTGATTTTTGGGGAGGTGATTTTTGGGGAGGTGATTTTTGGGGAGGTGATTCTTGGGGAAGTGATTCTTGGGGTGATGATTCTTGGGGAGGTGATCCTTGGGGAGGTGGTTTTTGACTCTCTGGCTGTTCATTAGTTGGCTATTCAGCTGGTTGTTGCTCATTTGATTGCTACCTAACTGGGCTCTGTCAAACTGGGCATTATCGAATTGGGTGCGGTTGAACTGGGGGCTGTCGAACTGGGCGTTTCTCAACATGCTGTTCTTCAGGCGGTCGCTATTTATGAGCCCATCGTTGAGCTTATCTTCGTTGATAATATCTTCGTTGATAATATCTTCATTGATAATATCTTCGTTGAGTAAATCTTGGTTGATTAGGTGTTCATTGATCGAGTCCTCGTTCAGCAGTCTCTCGTTCAACAGTCCCTCGTTAAGCAGGGCATCGTTAAGGAGCCCATCGTTAAGCAGCCCCTCGTTAAGCAACCCATCGTTCAGTATCCCCTCGCTGAGTAACCCCTCACTGAGCAATCCCTCGCTGAGTAACCCCTCGTGTAGCAGACCATCACTTATTCGGTTATCACCCACAAGTGCGCTGTTCACCTTGTGTCCGCTGTGGTGCCCATGATTTTTGCGATTCTGAATCGCGCTGATATTGGTGGCCGCCGTGGTGGCGGCGGTAGACGTAGTGGTGCTGGTGGCAGTAATGCCACTATTATTCAATTTGAAATAATTATTTATCATGTCTTTATTTATCTCCACATTTGATTTTGTGGCAATACTGTTTAAACTCATCATGTCATCTGTTCGGGTTGCTGGGAGGCTGTTATAATCGTTTAAAAGAATGTTTCCTTGTTTGCTGCGACTATTTTTTGAGTTTCTGTTTTTATCGAAAGTGTTAATTTGGCTGTTGGTTATCATTTGTCCTGCCATCATTTTGGGCAGTTCACCGTTTTGAGCATTTTTGTGATCCAGGGAGGAGGAGCAGGAGGTGGGCGTGTTGTTCCTTGGAACGATTGAGTCGTTTAAACTTACGTTTTGCATGTTATTCATGAGGTTACTATTGCGAATATGGCTGCCGAGATGACTGCTGATATGGCTGCTGATATCGCTGTTGACTACGTTGGGACCCATTTTGTTACATCCCCGGTGGTGGTAATTGTTGACGTAAGTTTTGTGGGGGCTCATGTCGTCACTTGATTTGTCATCGCTCTTGCTGGATTCGTATCGTTGGTAGTTGGTGCTCACTCCATTGGGGTGTGCATCCTGTGGCTGTACGTCTCTCGTACGGAAATCCCTCGTATGGAAATCCCTCGTTCGCACATCCCTCGTATGCACATCCCTGGTATGCACATCCCGTGTGTTCACATCCCGCGCGTGTTGGACCTGCACGGCCTGCTTGTGTGAACAGACTTTTGTTTTCCTCATGTCGTCGTTGTTCACCAGGTTGTACTGAGACACCGCATGGGGTGTCGACGCCATTCCATTGTAGGAAGATGATAACGGAGTGAGGTGCAGATTAGGGTTCAAATGGATGTTGTCATTGCACTCATTATCACCAATATAGCCATTCTCATTCGATACGTTGGACAAATTAGACAAGTTAGAAACGTTTGACAAAATAGACAAATTTGAAACGTTAGAAACGTTGGAGACGTTGGATACATTGGGAACGTTGACTGTCTGCATAGCATATCCGAATTTATTTTTGAGCTCCTGCAATTTGTGGTAGGATGGGATGTTTCCATTGGCATGGTCCCTGTTCTGTAGAGTACTAGGAATGTTCACTGTTCTACTTGTGGGAATATTCTGGTGTATCTCATGGTAGAGATTGCCTGAATCGTTGAGCATGCTTTTTTCATACTCTTGTTTGCACTGTCTGGTGATATTATCGTTAACGGATGAATAGCATTTGAAATTGACATGATTTGTATTCATGGTGTCGTTCCCGAAATGATCACTTGTTGATCCCTGATTGTTACTACTGCAGCTGCCTAAACTGTTATACTTAGCTATTGCGCTGCCCTGGGTGTATTGGTTTCCACTGCTACTGAGACTATTGTGATGCGTCTCGTCGGAGCCCCTCGCGCTGTGTATGTACCCTTCGTGGTTGCTGTTGGAGCTCGAGTGCTCCTCTGTCAAATGGCTGTTTTGATTAAAACTGAGGAACAGGTGGTTGTCTGCAATGTTGACATGGTGGTTGGGTGGCAGCGTCGATGCGTTATCTGGATCGTTGCTCTTATACAAAGCATTTAAATTGGCAGCGAATTCGTGCGCCGCGTCGCGCAGGTTTGCCATGCTGGTGGTTGTCCCGTTGGAAGCGGCCCCGTTCGAAGCTTCCCCGTTCGCAGCTGTCCTGTTCGCGGTTGTCCCGTTCTCTGTTACAAGGCTAGCGGCCGTTACCACATTCGCCGCATATAACTCCTTCTCCGCGAGTTCCGCCATTTCGGCAAGTTCCTCATTGAGCGCCTGTATGTTCATGGAGCTGCTGTCGTTGCAGGCCGACGAATATAGATTGTAGTACTGCTTCACGGTATCGAAATCGACTCTGTGGTTGTCGCTCCGGTAATTGTCGCTGCCGTGATTATCTCTGCCGTGGTTACCGCTGCCGTGATTGTCGCTGCCGCGATTTTCACTGCCGTGATTGTCGCTTCCGTGATTGTCGCTGCCGTGGTGACCGCTTCCGAGGTTTCCACCGCCATGGTTGCCGCAACCCTGGCTACCGTCACCACTGATACTGCTACTGTTGTTGTTCCTCTTGGAGTTGCCTCTGACATTTAAATTAATGAATTTTATCCGGTCCTCTATCGGTATCAAGTCTATCAAAAAATCAAACATGTCTCTTTTGCAAGCAGCGGAAATCACGTCCTGTCTTTGCAGTGTTCTTCGTTTGCTCTCTTCTGTGAACTTCCACGCATAATTAGTTAACTCCATAATGAAAAGCTCGCAAGCTTTGGCCAATAGGACAGGGGTGTCTGCTGACACCATCTGATTACTTTTTATTTCATCATCTTCCTTCATAATTTTTTTAATTCTAGAAATGGGTAAATTATGGGTTTTTAAATCTTCTACACTCATATTTGAAATTTCGGCTAGCTGGTTTCTCCAAAAGGGGTCAACCTCATCATCTCTGACGTTTTTCACATTCATATCTACATATATAGGGGCTTAGAAAGAGAAGAAAAAAAAAAAAAAAAAGGGAAAAAGAAGAAGGGACAAACGGATAAACAGACAAACAGACAAATATGAGAGTACTCGGCAGCTAGTCCGCCGGGCTAAATAATCAAAGCTTTGTTGCACACTACGACTTAGTAAGTAGGAACAAATTAACTCATTAATAAATGGTAGATCGTAATGCTGACTATCGAACTGCATTTGCGATTTGCATATGGTTCAATGTGCGTGATGGCTATCTCGACTTGACTTCTCCCTTTTATATATGTATGTACACTTCGGAAGTAGTAAGTAATAATGTGTGGGGTGTGAAAACAAGGCGGCTTAGAAAATCGACCTACGCCCTGTTATCAAAAAGAGGAGGGAACGAAAAAATATTATTACACTTTTTGGAGGAGACAATGTGCCACAGTAAGGTGTGCTCAGTACATATGCACTTGGATATATTCATGTTTGGTGTCTTTCACATCTCTGTGTCTTGTGTGGATTCATAAAATCTGTTAAACAGTTAACCATTCGGGAAAGAAGGGCGTGTCTTCTACTTCTACCTGATGGTCATTCTGCGATTAATAATTATTTCGACAGTTTGAAAATGTACACAAATCAGTGTTCCCCTGTTTCGGCGCTGTGTTGTTAGTACCACGAGAGATGTGGCGTGGTTATACTCAGTCAGTGCAATGTGATGCTAACGCTCTAGCCTAGCCATGTGAAAGACGACGAATGCGCGATGATTCTCCTTTGTTCTACTACTTTTACACCATTCTTCTTTGTTTAATTCCCGACCGTTGTGAGGAGCTTAGTAGAATTACTCCAGAAGAAAAACTTCGCTAACATATGGGAAAAAAAGAAGAAGAGGGAAAGGGGGACGATGGAAAAAGTGTGGATAAATGTTTACGTGTCCATGCAACTAATGCGAAACAGCGCCACACAAGTACAAATGGAGTGCGTTTCCCCACTACATTGTCGCTTTGTCGATTTGCCATTTTGTCATTTTTCCATTTTTTCTTTTTTGCTCCCTTTGCGTCCTTTTCCTCGCTATCTACCACTTTTGCATGAACAAGAAAGAAAATTGTGAGGAAAAAAAAAAAAAACATACAAACAAGCATGCGGATAAGTGGAGACGCGAAAGGGTTGTATAAACAGGTAATGCAAATGTTCACTATATTTTTATCAGCCACGAGGACTTTTAAAAGATCATGCGGAATGGCTTATGCACTGGAATGTGCGGTCCTTACGCACGGACACACCCCAAAGGGTATTCCAAAGGATTCCCGCAGGGTGTGCATGCACATGGACGTGTGAAGGATGGAAATAGAAATGTGCCACTGCCAAATTAGTGGTGCATCATCCCGATAAACGAAAAAAAAAAAAAAAGAAAAAAAAAAAGGATAACTACACAACACTTGTAATTTTCCTCGTACACCCCCCTCTGCATTAGCCGAGCGCGCAAGCATGGGAATATCAACGAATTCGTCGCGTACTTACAAACGAGTGACTATATTAAAGTACACATGTGCATTAAAACTGAACATTAGAATACATAGCACTGCATTTTTAAAGAAAGCAAAGGGGTAAAAATATTCGATGTTATGGGAAATTCCCCGCTGAGTGAGAAGTGGAAGAAGAAAAAACGGTTAAGCTTATCCCCCTGCATGAGGAGGGCGCAGGTAGCTTGTAGGCACGGATGTGCCTCTATGGGGAAATAGATATGCTAAATTAGAGCTACGAGTGAAGAAGAAAAAAAAAAAAAAAAATTGCGTAATGCGTAAAATACGGAGCAACGGAGGGTAGCGTGGTAGGAAAAAACTTGTGTAAATATGTGCATAGACGCATAGGTATATTCGGAATGACTGAAATCCGTTTGTTCACATTTCGACAGGCACTTTGTGATCATGTATGTGTCTTACCGGTACAACAGAATTTCTTGGCGACGAGGAAACAGGCGGATGTCGTTATAAACATATATAGTGCCTCACAGAAAGGCGTGATACAAGTAGGGGAACGAAATTACGTATACACACAAAATATAGAAAATACATATCTGTTCGTTCATCATACACAAATCAGCGTCTGTGTAACCCTTCGTTTGAAACATCTTACAAGGAATGGTGCATGAACATTTAATGTTCTTCTTTTTCAAAATTACTGAAGAAGATTATGCACTTTTTTACAGAAAAGGTTAACAAAAAAAAAAGAAAAAAAAAAGTGGTCGCAATTTTCAGGGGATTCGTGCTGAACTGCTGCTTCGATGTTAGCACCGTAAATGGGGCATGTAGAAAAACTTTTCTTTTTCCTTCTTCTCTTTTTTACCTAAGCCATCAGCATTTTTGCTATACCATCGGGCATCATGGAAGATAAGTGGAGTGGAGTGGGTTGCTATATTCCGGAATTCTGGAGCAAATTTCCTTTTTGTGGCTCTTTTGGATTCTTTTCAATTTTCTGAATTTTCCAAATTTGCCGAATTGGCGGAATTGGATGAATTTTTGTTTGGTCACAAGCTGTTCTAAGTCACCTGCAGGTATTACACCTGGCTCCAGTTTGTGACAGTCGATTTTTTTTCACTTTCCACTTCTTCCTAATTCATGCACCAATAAAATCGAACGAATTGGCATAAAAAACACTCAGAGGGCAAAAAGAAAAAATACATAGCGCAAAAGCGCTGTTTTGAAAAAATGTACACATGTATGTGAAGTCACATGTACATTTCACATATCGACATGTTCACACTTGTACATAATTAAAAAAGGAAAAATTGAAAAAGAATTGGGCGATGTGTAAAAACGGGTTTTGCTTTCCCTCCTGTTTTCCTTATATTTTACATTTGTACTTTTCTCATGTGTATACATGTATATCCGCGTACACTTCTGTTTGTGCGTCCACCTTCACATAAGTGAAAAAAATAATAATAAAACGAAATGAAGTAAAAAAACGAAAAAAAAAAGGAAGTCGGGAAAAATAGAGAAAAAGGCAAAAGGAGCGAAATTTAACGAAAAAGTACAAACAAGTACGGAAAATGGCGAAGAATCAGAAAAAATGGCAAATAATCAGGTGAAAAAAAAAAAAAGTATGTTTGTACGCGCATGCATGTACAACATGTGACAGGAAAATTTTCTTCAACATTCAGACAAACAGAAAACCGCTTCGAAATTTTCATATAGAGGAAACTTTTTCCTCCTTTATCGTTCTTTTGTTTTGCCAGAGGAAGCAAATCATTTTAATATCGTTACTTTGAAAAAGAAGCAAGCGTAAATAAATTAAAAAAATGAACGAACTGAGGTGAAAAGAATATAAAAAAAAAGGGCGGGGCGGGGGAAGAAAAACATTCCTACTTCTGCACGTCCAAAAACTTGTCACAAGAAATAGCATTGCTTCGTATGAGTGTGCTTCTTAAGAAATCAACATGATTCGTCGTCCTTTCCCCGGTTTGCCCATTGACATGTACCATATTTTACTTTTTATTTCCTTTTACCGCTCGGTGATCTCATGGGGAGGCTGAGCGCACCAAAACTGTACGCAGAAATGTGCTCTAAAATGTACGCCAAGAGTGTACGCAAAGATGTACTCAAAAGTGTACCCAAAATTGTGCGCAAAATTGTACTCAAAACCGCACACCAAAACTGGGAGCAAGTTTCTTCCCCGTCCTTCTTTCGTATGCACTACACATAGTAAGCTACAACGAAAAAGAAAAAAAGAAAAAAGAACTAAGTTACATTGACGCGCGAAGCAAAGCCTGCAAGGTGGAGAACCCTAACATTGTAAGAGATGTACAGAACTTACTTTTCGCAAATGCGAAATTGAGAGGTGGTCATGATGGAAATCCTCCTACCTACAAAATGGCCCAATTGTAAGAACGGCCAAACAGCCTGACAAATGCCACATCCACACGCGGCTAACCATTCCTTTCACATAAGCTGCGCGAATGTTTGCAGTGCCCCAGAAAAAGAAAAGAAATGACGAAAAAATGTCTAACTAGTGTACAGGCATATGCAAAATATATGTCTATCCCACAAGTGGCTAGTGATTCTCCTTAAAAAGTAGCTGCAATGGCCACCTTCTTTTTATTAACATATGTGATTCCTCTTTAACAAAAAAAATGTAGAACCCTTTTGCTCTTAAGGAACAATGTTGGGAGAACATAATTGATTGTCTTGCCTACCCAGCATGACTCTCTGCAACTGACAAGGGCAGCGCATTCACCTCGAACAAATGATCGCTACATTTGACGTATACCCAAATGTGAAGTTGTCAAACTGGGACTAAATTGTTACTGTGAAGAAGAAATGTGTGGGAAGTGGGGAGGGTGGAACTTCGAATAAGTAAAAGGAAAAAAATCATGGGGAATCTAGAAGAGACCCTCATAGGGGGGTGCTTTTTCCATTTGTCCTGACGTAGCGGAAAAGTCTGAGCTAGGTACTCATTTAGACGGGTGACAACAGCGCATGGGGCAATGTATCTACAATGTGTGCATTTATGTTGGTTTTATTCTGCTTTGTTTTTGTTTATTTTGCTTTACTTTTTTTTTTTGCCAAAATTGTGGAGTCACATGGCCGTCATGAACTGCTGCCTGTTAAACATTGCATTGGCCATTTCTTACGTGGTGGCTTTCCACCAGCAAGGTTACCCCCTTTGGTGCATTCTTCTTTTAAGCTTTAAATGGGCCGAGCGAACCTGGTGCAAAAACCAAATGCGTGTCTGTTCCCCCGTGGTGCGTATAATCTGCTTATCTTATATCCTCTTTCGCGTAGAAGGGTGAACAATTATGCTTATGTGAACCTGCTGCATGTGGTGGCGTGTGGTTTTTCGGCTTTCCACGATGACACATGGAAGGGCGGACCAACAGTACAAATGACTTAGATGCCCCCATGGCAACTGTGCCAAAATGGGTTACACGGCGGGGAACGCATCCATATCTACGGAAGTGTGTATGCAAATGTGTTTATGTACATATATATGTGGGAATGACAGCGGCAACTACTTTGCGGGCGTATAGGTAGGGAATTTTGTTTATTCATTTTTTCCCCCTTTCCATTTTTTTACCTTTGCTGCAATTTTCCCTTGTGATAAGCCCCTTGGGGAATTTTTGCCACAATTGCCCATTTCGCTCCCTTGGGTATGCGCGATTGCTGAGAGGTGCATTTACACGTTAGGACGATCGTGCAGGAGGCGGCCAATGTGCAGGCAACACGAATGCGCACTATAAATGAGGCATACGCGCCAGGGTGAACGGAAACATAATGGTACGAACGCACAATCGCAATTGTTATCCCTGTTCATGTCACCACCGGGAAGCAGTAAGTTCGCCCCCGAGTTTTACACCAAATTGCAGAGAGGGGAATGCTAAATTTCAAAAAGAAAGGCTTTTTCCGCATTTTTCATGAAGTCACTTTTTTGTGATTGTATCCGCCCCAGCAGGTTTTAAAAATTAGGCGGTTAGCGTAGGGATACTACTGTATGTACAGATGAATATGTTGGTTTTTTTTCTCTTTTTCCTCTTTTTTTTTCCCCCTTTTTTTTTCACTTTTTTTTTCCCTTTTTTTTTCACTTTTTTTTTTCCATTTTTTTTTCCCCTTTTTTTTTCCCTTTTTTTTTTCCTCCTTTTGCATTGCTCTTATGTCATCGACTTCCCACCATAGCGGAAAAGAACCATCCTTACCTCGCCAAAAGAGTTATCACAAATGCTATGCCAGGTTGGGATGCATCAAATGGGCATTTCACTTTGTACACTTTTGTCGCGTGTGGAAGGTTCCCAATGAGTTTTACTAGGTATATAGGTACATTTGCAAAAAAAAAAATTGTGAAACAATTGTGAAGCGTTTGAGAAAATTTATAAAAAAAGGTTGAACAAAAAAAAAAATATAAAATGAATAAATGGATAATATTGTAAAAAAGGAGTGTAATGAATTGCCCACTGTCAGAAAAGTAGAAGACATTTATGTACCACCGCGAGCGTAAACTTTTGGGAAATCGCCCCAAATGGTATGTGCAATGTTTACATGTGCATATATATATGCATACTTTCTTTTTTTTTTCATTAATTCCACGCGGACGCTGCTTTAGTATCCTATTTATCCCGCGAGAGACCAGATATAAAAGGCCACCACCACCATCTGACAGTAGTACCCCACGTGTGATCGACAGGATTATTTTCTTTTCTGCCGAGCCCTATGAGGGGGGTCACCAAATTTTAAAGCGTAAACAAGTGGTAGAGGGTATGCAAGCATTCATGAGCACAGACGTTCTCGCGTAGCTATCCGAGTTAGCACAGTGTTGCAAGTGGAGTCAGAACCAACTGTGTGGTTCGTACAATCAAAGGTAGTCAATTCAGAGGCAGTCCATTTAGAGGGAGTCCATTCAAAGACATCCCAATCAAGGAAAACCAAACACACACAACAGGTATTAAGCGACATATGAACCAGTTCTGCAAATTTGAAGAGAGGAAAAAAGGCAGTTAAAAGAAAAAAAAAAAAAAAAGAAGACAAATAGGCAAATAACAACATAACCAAATAAGAAGGAAAACAAAAAATGAAAAGTATAAGGAGCTTTGACCTTTTAAAGAAGGGGAGAATATTTTTAAAAAAGAACAAATTCAACGAAATAAGCAAGAGGACCTTTGGAGGAACCTTCAACCACAATATAAAAGAAAACGATCGAGTACCACCAGCCTCAGAAAATCCAAGTTATAAAAATCTGTTCGATCATGCAGATGATATAAAACTGTGGGAAATAGAAGAGAAAGAAAATATTTGTCATAAGAGGGTGGAGGATTTGTCCGAGTTGGTCGAACCGTCAAATCATCCACATCAGTATGAAGGCATATTTGTGAGGACAAGATATGCACATTATAACCAAACAGCTGAACCTGTTTTTCCAAGGAAACCAAATTTAGAGAAAGGCGAATTAGCCAGTGGAGCTAATGTAACAAGAACAGATGTATGGCATAACCCTAACGAGCCTGCTGTCGTTTCAGTGGGTAAATTTGAACCACATAATTTTCGGCCAGCTGGTTATGCTGAAAATACACCCAACCCAGATAGTATAAACTCAGATTATCATCCAGATTTTAGAGAGTATAGATTAAGAAGTGGAAATGCGGATAGAAGAACCTTCATGTATTTTATAAGTGCCTCCTACTTCTTTATCATGTCGTCAATTATGAGATCAACCATATGTAAATCGGTGCACTTCTTTTGGATCTCCAGAGATTTAGTTGCAGAAGGAACTACCGAATTAGATATGAGGACAGTAAGCCCTGGAGAACACGTTGTAATAAAGTGGAGAGGGAAGCCAATTTTTGTTAAACATCGAACCCCTGAGGATATTCAGAGAGCTAGGGAGGACGACAAATTGGTGGAAACTATGAGAGACCCTCAGTTAGATTCTGACCGAACTATTAAACCTGAGTGGTTGGTTAATATAGGCGTGTGTACACATTTAGGTTGCATTCCAGCCCCCGGTGGAAATTACAACGGCTACTTCTGCCCTTGTCATGGTTCCCATTATGACAATTCTGGCAGAGTTCGCCAGGGCCCTGCGCCGTCAAATTTGGAGGTCCCCCCATACGAGTTTGTTGACGAGAATACGATAAAGATTGGATGATCTGTTTAGCGGTGCATGGTTTTGCACTGGCCCTGTTTTGCGGTTGCCCCGTTTAGAAGTTTTTCCCTCGATTTTTGCTTCTGAACACCTCTCAGGGACATCCGCACTGGCAGAGCCGTGTCCGATAGAGGTCAGGCCTACATTGGAACAGTGGTGGAACGACGCAAGGATCCACCCATTTGAACCCTCGCCCACCGCCTCAAAGGCCACCTGTCTGGTTCACGCAGGTGGAAACTTCATAGTGCCATCGCCAACAGCTCATTTTTTCCTCCCGGCACATTGCGCACTGCACATTTTATTCGTTTGGATTTTTTTTTTTTTTACCCTCCAAGTAGGCATATTTTTGTTGCAACAAAAGAGGCCATTCTTTTAAAACAACATGCCATGTATATATAAATATATATAAGCGCGTGTCTGTGTATTTATGGCGCACCCATTTGGGCATGGGCAGAGCACCTTTCACTGGTGCACAAAATGGTTGGCAACATGGCTGGCAGTGACCGAAAAAGAGACGTGTCAACCAGTGTGCGCATTTATCCGTCTGAAACGTATGTGGTCTTAAAAGGTCCCGCTACTACCGCTTTTCTTTATTATCCGTAGGCTTCTGTAAAAAGATTGCAGTAAAAGGATGCTAGTAAAAGGATGGCGGTTAAAACGAAGCGGTAAAAGTGTCAGGGGTTCATATTTTCTGTGTGAAATGTGTGCGAAAGAGGGAAAAAAAACATATCAACACTGCAATCACAAATTTGTGTCTATTAAAAAGAGGAATACGTGGAATGACACAACACGCAAATGCAACTTTCCAGGTAAGAATGAGCAACTATGGCGATCGCTCCCTCTTTGTGAGTTTCAAATTTTTGTCGCAGGCGAATTTGCCGCTGCCTGTAGGCGTAAAGGTTTCTCCTTCATTTTGGCGTTGTACACAAAATATGGAATCGAAAATATTTTTTAAAAATTTTGTCTTAAGTTTAAGAATGACGAATGGACCGCAAAAAAAAGAGGTGGCATTACAAAAGGGGGGTGTCCACGCATGTGCAGGTAATATGTGCGTGGACGTATGGATGAAGGGGCGAGTAGGCCCTAGGCGAAGGTGTGTATACCTGCGCACATGTGCGCACGCGCGTGATGGGCCATTTTTAAAGATGCCCGAGAGGTGAAAAGACTAAAACAATTGTGTGAAGGGGCAAACGTAAGCACGGGCACGCGAACGAGCGAGCTACGCAGTAAAGACGAATTCACAAGAAAGATGGGTGCAGTGTGCGCAAACGGTGTGAGTATTCCTTGTCCATCCCTAAGCTTTGTTGTCCTTTTTTCTGTCTGTTTTTCCGCCTGTTCACTCCGCCTCGTCGCGCCTCCGCCACTGCTCGAGCGTCACTTCCTGTGGCAGTTGCAGCCCTGAACGAACCTGTTCAACTTATTCGATAAATGCTTGTACAAGAGGAAACAGAAAAAATTATTTATGAGGAAAATTATCAGGACGAGGCCCAAAAAGAAGGCGTACAGATTCCCTGTCTCCTGAGGAGCTCCGTACGCACCGCCAAACTGAGATCCGCTAAACTGTGAACCGGTGTGCGGTGCACCGTTAAACTGTGAACCGGTAGACTGCGCAACGACATCGCCCCCGGTAAGGTAACTGATAAGCATCCTCTTGTAGTGCCTAAATTTATACACAATGTAGCGAAAAAGGGTTAAATTCTTGAAAAAATTGTAAATTTTAAAATAAAACGTTTGAAGGCTGTCCACCGAAGAGTTATAATAAATGAGGGGGGTCTTGAATATGTCGTTATGACAATGATTTTCATAATACAAAAAATTGAATATATTTCTTTTTTTTTCTTTAAAAATAAAATTGGGATTTTTATCGTGAAAGGAATTTTTATTATGTAGCAGCATATTTTCTTCCTCTTCATCACATAGTGGAAACTTTGCGCCCATGGAGGCAGAAGTGCTTCCGCCGTTGGCAGCAGTCGTTCTTCTTCCCCCACCTGCGCCTGCCCCTACTCCTGGTGCTCCTCCTCTTGTGGGTTTTTCGAAAAGATATATTTTCTCTATCTCATCGTATAGTAAATCTTGTAAATATTTGCAAATATAGTGGAGTGAATCAAAATGTTGTTTTTTTTCATTAATTTGTAAAATGCATATATCTTTCAATATTTTGAAGAAGGATTCTGACTTGTTTCTGTTTTTGTGTAAATTTTTCATATTTTTTTCGTTTATCATGATATATTTTAGCAGAAGGCTAATTGTGTTTTGTAAAATTTTAAAATTGGACAACATGTGATATATGATTTTCGTTTTGTTGTTGGTAATTTTTATGACATCTTTCAATTTCGAAATTACGTAATTATTTTTATTTTCGATGGTTTTTACTTTGTCCACTAATGTTAGTAGGGCATGTCCTCTTGTATTTTTTGCTTTTTCTTCAATTTTTTCTTCTCGTATGCAATTTTGTTCATAATGATCGTACTGGATGTGATCATTCAGCACATGGTCCAATTCGTCAAGGTATTGTAATTTATTATCTTTAATATTTTTTCTTTTTGCTTCATTGTTTATTACTTTTTCTTTCATTTTATTTTCTGGTTTGTTAATAATTAATGGGATTTGTTTTCCCGATTTTAATTTGACAGAATATATTTTCGACTCGTTATTATCATCATATTCACTAATGATATCGTACACTTCGTTAACAAGTTTGCTGTTGCTTTTTTCTGTTTCTTTTATTTCGTTCAAGATTTTTATACTTTTGTCATTGTTTTTCTGTTTGTATTTTACATTTATAATATTTTTCATTTTGTCCTTCTTGTGCATTTCTTTGTGTATCCCTGCTTCGTCTACGTACTGTTTTAGATATCTATCTGAGTATATCATGTTTTCTATTTCTCCTAGGGTTAGGCACATGTTCGCCTCGTCGAAGTGACCACGTTGACTTCTTTGGATGGCCTCTTCTTTCTGATATGCCCTTTTTGACTGCTCCTCCAGATGGCCAGTACTTCCCCCTGTCGTCGCACTCTGCTCATTTTCCGTTATGCCTTTTTTTTCTCTTTCTAAGCTGGTTCTCCAAACGGATAAACGACATGTAATTAGGTCCACAAAAAGTTCTGTAATCGCTTCGCACCGGGCTTTTTTTCGATATTGCAAACCTTGCTCTTCTTTTTCCTGTACACTTCCCTCCTTCTGTGAGGGGCGAAATAATCTTCCTCTATTTTTCACCCTGTGGGAGAGGCCCATGAGGGTGGCTTCCCCCATCCAAGCCGAAATGGTGTAAACTAGCTTACTCTTAGCAGTGGGTAATTTTTCTGAAAAAAGGTAATTTGTCGTGCAATTTGCCATATGATCCGAGATGAGGCCTCTTACGTAGCTTTCTCTCTTCGTTAGGTCCTCTCCAATTCTGCGGCTAGACAGGCTACTGCATATATCTGCCACCAGTTTGGACATGAGCTTCATATCGCTGGGGCTTCTCATCAGCGCCATGGTGTGGTAGCGCGAGTGTATGTTTTTTCGTCTTAACATGTGCAGATACAGCGTAAGGGTGTTAATGGTTGGGGGGGATTCAACATTCAAAGGGGGAGTTTCGACACGATCTTGGTGATTTATAGGGGGGTCCTTCGGGTGGTGCGGCTCCCTGGGGTGGGGTGGTTCCACTGGGAAGGATTCCCCATCAGGATAGTACTCCTCATCTATGTAGTACTCCTCACTATCCGCATCCTCCAGCTCTTCATCCACCTGCTCATCATCCTCCTCCCTGTAGGCATAATACGACAAATCCGTTCCCTGCAGACGATCGTGCCTTTTGCATGTTCTGCTTCTCTCGAAATGCGCAAAAAAAAGACTCTGTAGTTCCTTCTCAAGTGTTGATTTGCTTTTCTTCTTCAAAAGAAGCCCATTCTTCAATATATCCACACAACTGCCACGATTGCGCAGACTAGCTAGTGGGGCACATCTCATGAAAGACATAAGCAATACTGAGTTGAATGTGTTTTTCCACTTGGTCATGAAATCAAAGCACCATTTGAGGCTCTCCAAGTTGTGTGTCGCGCGTCCCTTTGTTATTTTTTCGAAGAGGTAGATCATTATCAAGCTGTCCTGTGGTTGTTCCTTTAGAGGGGTTAAAATTTGCAGGTCCTTTATTCTATTCTGTTGCTGCATCTTTTCCCAAATATAAGTCATGAGAGGGTCTTCCTCCTCCTCCTTGTGTGGGCGAGACCTCGATGCATCGCATGTTGGGAAACGAAAAATGGGTGAATAAAAAAGGTGTAATTTTTTTATATGTCCTATTTTATTAAACTGTTTTGATAAGAAGAGGTTTCTGAGCATTCCCCTTTTTTTTCTTATTTTCCTTTTTTTCTTCTTCAGAATTTTATGCCTCCTTCTCCTCCCTGGGAGGGGCAATCCCTTTCTAGATATGAACACGAGATACTTTCGGATGGTGAACTTGATTAGGTTACCTCTAAAGGTAAGAAATTTGTTAATGTCCCCCGCATGTTTTTTCAAGCAGACCATATCGAGATTGCACAGAAAACGGGGCTTCCATATAGTCAGGAGCGGGTACATACGCCTATTCTGCAGTATACTATTTTGCACGTTTTTTATAGCCCCGTAGTTGTAGCAGTGTACTTGAGGAAGTGGCCTTGGTGGTGTCCCACTCGGACTCGCTGGAATGGTCCTTTTGTCAGAAGTGTGTCGAGTCGTTGCACTGTGGGGAGGAACGTGCCTTGGGATATTCACACGACTGTGCAATTTTGGAAAGACCCTCATCACGAGCAAACGGAATGGGGAAAGAAATTGCCCACGTGTGGGTAAATACTTCTCCACTGTGCTTCTCCCAAGAGGTGCATCCTCTACGGGGGTAAAAAAGCGATCCATTCGGATGGCGTCTTTTACGTTATAGTGAGCGTAACTGAGCTCGTCCTTATACCTCATCAGGTAGGCAATGTAAGGCATGTACTTGTTGACCACATTTTTGTAATTCACGAATGGGTAATTTTTTAAAAGGTTGGATATCCTGAGTTTGTTAAAATTTTGAAGTACAGCATATTTTTTCTTGACATCTTTGTTTAGGATGGCTATCGAGTGAGGTGAGACGGCTTGTTTGTATCTTTTCTGGCCTAGCACCTTCTGTTTTGTGGCTACATACGAGGGCACACTAACGTTGTCTTTCTCTTCATCCTTATGTTGACTTGTATTCACTTCATCCTCCTTCATGGTGTTCCTTTCATGGTTTCTTTTTTCATCAAACACGTTTCCTATTTGTTCTGTTAAATGATCAAGTGAAGGTTCGTTAATGTTACTACTCTTGGAGTCTCTCTCGACAAGTTCAGCGTTCATTAGTTCTTTTTCGATGAGTTCCGTGTCCATAAGTTCCTTTTTGATCAATTCTGTGTCTATCAGCTTTGAATCGATAAGATCTGTGTCTATTAATTCTTCCTCTATCGTTTCTGGATCTAGGAAGAAGCCTTCAAAGGGGGTAAAGTTGGACATCGTCGAGGGGGGTGCACCCTTGGGTAATTGGTCTGTTGCCATGGTTTCGGTCATGTGCCTTTCGATCGTCTGCATTTCTGGTAAGTGCAGTGCATCCTCGTCGCGCGCCTTATCTACGTGTTTCTGTTCATTTCGCCAGTGGCTTGGTCCTGGTGCAGTGCCTCCACTCTGCATCCGCTCTTTGTCCTCAAGGAGGACCTCCAAATTTTCTATGATCTCATGGTCGCGAATGTTTTCATTCTTCTCATGCTTGTAATTGTCGTGGAAATCTTTTTCAATCTGAGTGATGTTATCATCCGAGTATATTTTATCACTGAGCATATCAACACCAGATGAAGCAAAAATTTGCAGATGTGTTAAAGTACAGTAATAATTATTTTCTAAGTTGTGATGAGAAAGGACAACAAACTTCATATACTTCACCCAACAGTTATCTTCATCGTAATTTTTACAATAATCATATATGTTAAAGAGTTCAAAGCTCTTTGTAAAATTGGTGGCAATTTTTCCTAACTTTTTCCATTTTTTTGTAGGGTATACATCACTGCCTAATATTTCGATAACTTTGAAATTTGACGCATAATGCTCTAGTGAGACTAATCCGATTTTCTCGATATGTATAATGTCACTGAATGAGTAGATCCACCAGATGTCTGAATTGCATGGCGTCAGCATGTAACTGTCATAGTCGTATTGTTGAATCGATCGGATGTTTATAATTCCCTTGCTGTACTCGATTATCTTCGTCCCGGTGTCTACCGATCCGAAGTCGATCTTCAGCTTCAGACTCGTCAGGTTGTAGTTTTCGCCCAGAATGTATTTTTCTAAGGGGGAGGGAGTGGCGAAACGATTACGAAGCGTTGAAGCGATTACGCAGCGGTGAAGTGATCACGTGGGTGTAACGCATTGATCAATATTCGATCTGCCTCTACAAAGGGGAGCCTGAGAGGCGCCTCTCACAGCTCGCGCATACCTGTCGACCCACTGTCCTGGTTGTTATTTATGTCGTTCATATAAGTCGTATCTTTGGGGGTGAAAAAGCTTTTTATAAGAAAAAACAAAAAATTTATTGAAATTAAAAACCACCATATCATATTCCTTGTCTTCCGTAGTAGTAACGTTTCGATTTTTTTTTTTTTTTTTACTTATTTAGCTTTCTGGCTATTCTGCAGTTTCGAAGACTGCCCATGCCGTGTCCCCTTTGGTATGCAGCGTTAACTGAGCAATGTTGCGGGGGCTGTTTAAGGGGCTACTTCTGCAGGTGCGCGGGCACTTATTTAGATGCTTGAGAAGTCGCATGCTGCATGGATTACTTTGTGTAGTGATGCACCAGTTTGGTCACCTGAGGACCGGTCGCGTGGGGGCATGTCTGCTGAGTGCACATGTGCAGTTGCAGAGTTGTGTATCTGCGTATCTTCGTATATGCGTATCTGCGTACCTGCATATCTGCATATCTGCGTATCTACTGCTTCCGTTTGGCCAACCAGTGGTGCACTTACGGTGGCCCCTTAGTCGACGCGTCTCTGGTCAGCAGAAATGTGCCCGATGACTGCCTCGGTTTTGCTTTCTGCTTCGACTGGCAGTGGGTGTGCGTTCTCAGATATTCATACAGATATGTACTTCCATACATACGTGCTGTCGCCAAGGTTGTGCGAATGGGTCTGCTGCCTTGGGGGCATCGCACTTCCCCTTGAGTGGGCTGCAAAAAAAGGGGTGCCGTCGTTTACGTGTGTTTGTCGTTTTCTCGTTTGGAGTTGAGGCGAAAAGGGGGCACGTTACGCAAACGACGAATTGGGAAGATCAAAAGGGTTGGAGATGGGACAAATGAGTAACGCTGCGTAGGAAGGGGCAACGCTGCAATCAAATGGATAGCGCTACGAAAAAATGGGTTGCGCTGCAAACAAATGGATAGCACTACGAATATGCGAGTAGCAATAGGAACAAACAAAAGCGCACTGCTGCGTGTTTTTACAAAGGCGCACGGGTTTATAAGAGACGCATACAGGTACATTTAAGTGCGATAATGTGAAGATAAGCAGTTAACATGACTTCCCTCATGGTAATGAACTTAATACGCCGAAAAGGAAACAAATAAAAAAAAAGTACAGTGTAGTAGTGAAGCAGTGGGGCAAGGAAACAGCGAAGTTGCGAAGGCATGCAGAAAATGAGCCTTTTTATTTCCCCGAGTTTTTCTTTTTGTTGCATGTTTAACAATGACGTTTGAATTTTTTTCTTTATATTATTGCGACGTTTTTGCTACGTTTTTAAAACGCTTTGGGACATAACACAATTGCAGAGTTGATGGGACGCCTTGCCGCGTTTGTGGCACGCGTTTGCCGATTTTTCCACAGAGGCATTCATGGTGAAAATTGTTTGAAAAACTGAAATCGAGGACGCGCCACGTTTGGCCTCACAAGTTTGGTCAGGCATGTACGCGTAGTGAAAGTTTCGTCGCGTACGTTCGCAGCGATGTACGCAAAGAACGTTTTTCTATGTGCATGCATTATGTGCGCATGTACCCGTTCATGGTGTTTGCAGAACTGCACTGTTTTGTGCCCCCCACACACATACACCTTTGAACATCGCAATGGGGGACAAAATGGTAAAGAGGTGTTTGGCTGGTGGAGGAAGAAGCTTCACAAAAGGGTGAGAAGCAAAAATAGCGTAGGGGAGTACCCACATGGGGGAAACACATCACAAAAGGGAGTAAACCTCTCCAAGAAAACAACGCTTGTAATGAACTCCATTTGTTGGTTCTCTTGGGATTTCCTTGGGCACGCCGATCCGTTTTGTTTGGCCGGTTTGTTTCCCCCTTTTGACGTCTTGAAAGCAAAAAATGAGGAGCAGGAAAACAACTCGAGGTTGTCTCACAGACAGAGAGTGCATTCACCACTTAAAAGGAAAATTTTTGTTCTTAAAAATTTCTTGTAATAGTGATTAAGCACATGCTTATATTCCTCCCTATTTGGAAGTGGTTCTCTCAATTTGGTGCCACAGGAAATTTCCCTAAAATTGCTAAGGTTTTCTGAGTATAAAATTCAAAGAAAAAATTGTGGCATAGGTTTGTACAAATTTATGTTGTTGGGTAGGAGTGAACAGCGGAAGGAATCGCACATGTCCATGGATGAAGTTACGATAAAAAAGATATATACATGTATGTATATACTGCCGCGTGCTAATGTAGCAACCCGCGCTGAACCTACTTGTCGCTTTCTCGTTAAGGAGCAAGGGGGGAGATAGGTCCTCTTGGTGGCAGAACTGGAGGACGCGGTTCAAAATGTGGAAGTCAACGGAGAGGTTGTCCAAATAGATTAGAATCTGATAATTGGGGGGGGAGGGAGAAAACGGGGTGGAAAAATAAATCAGACACACTGCGGAGATTTTCTTCGAAAGGATGAGGTGTTTGGCTGGTTCACTGTCCTTAGAAGCGTATTAGTCATTCGGCTGACGCAACAAGGAGAGTAAGACAAAAAGTGAGCGGAGGCAGTCGACGTATGCCCTATGGGCATGTGCGTAAAGTATGGACAACTCGCCGATTCGTCACTTTGAAGTTGCACTTACGACGTCCCGAATGTTTGCTCGAATGTTCCCATCCGCGTGCATGCGATGTAGAGAGGTAGAAATGGTTCGGAGTATTTCAACCTTTTTAAGTCTACATAGGACAGTTCGAATGTAAGGCACTAACGCTTTTGGCACGTCACCATCTTGAAGCGACTGTAAAAAGTGAGCTCGTCTTGCATTCTTAAATGTGAGCGAGGCTACATCGGTAAAATGGGATAGACTTTTCTGCAAATTTTTCCTTGAGGCGATCGTGAGGTTGTTATTTGGTGTAACTTTTCTTTGCTCATTTGCTTCGAAAAGGGATGAGGCAAAAATAGTTCGCAGTGCGCATATGTAGGCAAGGCTAAAATTCAACAGAGACGAAGAATAGTAATGAGAACTTAGGACCAAAATGTTGCACCTGATGGACTCCACATGGAAATACTTTTTCTCTAACAATGAAGCAAACTGGTGTAACTCCTCCATGTGTTTGTTGTTGATTAATGTTATTATTGGGTAGTGAGTATTCATTTTTGCTTTCCCTTTTGATTCTTTTTTAATTTTTTTGATCAAAAAGGCAATTCTTTTCAGCATGTTGTTATGCTCAGGATCATGTTGTGACGTTAATTCTACAGGAAGTAGCCCTTTTGTTTTTTTTCTCTCCAAATCTATGTATTTTTTGTAGTCTAAGAAAAATTTATATAGGAAGGTTTTCTCGAGTATGCTTTTTAACTTGTCTTTGGAAAACGTTTTTCCCTCTTCTGCGGCATCATTGAGGGAGAGGTAGTTCGAATGAGTCTCCTCGTTGACTCTTTTGTAATGCGTATCGATGATGAATTCATTCTTGGGATAGTTATAAATAAAGGAAAAGCAAAAGTAGAGAAGCAGGAGACTAACAACATTTTCCGTTTCTCCACACGAGGGGTTCATATTCTGGATGCTCCATGATAAATCAGCTAGTAAGTTGTAGATAACTCTCTTTAGCTGCCTCTTTTTTTGTTCATTTTCCTTGTGCACTTTCTGTACTATATTTAGCGTATAGCACATGGACTTTATCATTTTTGTGACAATCTCTATTTTGAGCAACTCACATTTTTGCTTCACGTTGAGGTACTCTGTCACACTTCCAAAGAGTTGGACCTTCACTTGGTATGTGTTGTGTGTATTTGCTCTACAGTAATGTTTGACGATTTTTTCGCCCTTCTTCATTTTGTACGGGATTTTCTGTAAGAGGATGTCCCTAAGGGGGAAGAGTTGCACGTTTTCTTTGCACGCATTCGTTGTGTGCTGTTCAATTGGGTGCTCGTCTTTCTTCTGAATATTTTCGAAGCGTTTCTGCATCGCTTCTCCTTGGAGTGTATCACCGCGATTGCGGGAAATGGCGCATAGGATCCCCTGCAAGCACAGATTATTTTGAAGAATAAAATCCAAGTCGGTGTATCCTCCCAGCAAGAAGTTCGTCAAAATGTGCATAATTTCGTCTTTCATTTGAGGGCATTCAAATGAGTCTGCATCCAGGGTCTCCATTTGGCCCATTTTATCATAAAAGCTGCTTTCATTTTTAATGAGAAGAACAAACTCGTATAGGTGAAGAAGTGTAAAACTGGAAGCTGCACAATGTTCTACATTATTGAGATGCAAATAAATTTCTTGTTGTCTTTCTATGAGGACAAAAATGCACAGCATAATGTTCACAACGTTTTCGTAATATCTGTTTAGGTTCTTTAAACTAAACGATCTGATCATGGTGAAGCAGAAACAGAAAGAAATGTCACGTCGCAGAGATTTCCCTACCATATGTTTGTTGATTACTTCTAGTCTATGCTTTAGTTGGTCCTTGTGTGAAATGTTTTCAAAATTGAGGGTGCGTACTTGGCTCAGCAAGGTGATGAAAACTCGCAAGTTTGCAATTCCCTTTTGGAAATCCTCAAAAATGTGGCATGGTAAATATTTTTTTATGTCTTCAATTGATAGGTAAATTTTTTCTACATTTTCTAATTGGTTCTCTTGCCCTTGTTTAATCAACGCAAGTATTTTTCTTGCACTGACAATTGTGTAGATGCTGTACATATACTGAACATAGTTTTGTGATTTTATTTTTTCTAACGTGCTCCATGTCTTCATATCACTGGTGCTTCCATCCCTTGGCGTCTTTTCCTCAAAAATGGCATCCTCCACATTGTAACATTTTATTTCTTCATTTATTATGAGCAAACAGCTGTCACATGCGCGGATGCATTCTTCCAAGTTGTTCGTCAGGAAGTGGAGGAGGGAACAATTGTTCAGCACCTTTATGTGTTCTTCCTTAATTAGTTCGTGCCCTGCGATTTGGGGGGAAGAGGCATATGAAGGGTGGGCATCTGAGTGGGTCGTTCGCACGGGGGATTTTCAATGTGGCTCATACAAATGGAAGGTGCAGCACAGCTAGGGGAGAAGCGGAAGAAACCACAGACTCAGTAGTACGCATATGTATATATATAGATATGTACATATATATACATATGTGTGTATATCTGTACAGATATGTGTATGTCGCCCCCATTTCTCACCCGTGAGCAGGTAGGAGGACACCGATTTGAGCGTCTCCAAGCAACTGGCAAAATCGGAATTCTTGAAGTAGAGGTTCTTTGCCTTTTCTATCAAAACGATGAGGAAGAAATTTTTGGTGGACGTGCAGCTGGGTAGCTTCTGCTTCAGCATTCTGGATTCTCTTGCAGGCAGTTCGTTCCTCTTCATTTGAGTAAACTTCAATTCGATGACCTTATTTTGTGTTGCTCGATCTTGGAGTAGTAGTAGTTTAGGCTCGTTTTTCTTAACTATGTCGGAGCAGGGTCGTACAATTTGATGGTTACTTCCTGTGTTATCTCGGACGAGTTCTTCCACTTCGCTATTTATATCATTTGATTTCTTTTCTTCAGAGATGCGCAACTCGTTAGGGTTGTCCACATTTCGATGTGAGAGATTTACCCTGTCTACATCATTGTGCTGATCCACTTTATCCATTTCGTCTTCGTCACAATCTTGATATATTGAATCAATCGCTCTTTTGCGGATTTCATCCTTCTGGTTTCGCAGCAGTTCATTTTTTTGTTCATCCAGCTGGGACTGTATCCTTTGCGCATCATCCTGTAGCTTCTTGATAAAATCGTCTCGCGAGTTTTTATTTCTCTTGAGCCTTTTCTTTAGATCATCTAAACTGTTGATTCTCCTATCATTAATTATCGATTTGAATTTCTGCTCCTGTGCAATTAATTTGTTCTTTTCTTCCTTTGTGCACTTTATCAAATTTGGATATGTGGCATTTTTGTATATGAGGAAAATATTGAAGTAATTTAAATATCCCCATAATTTGTTTTCTTTTTTCTTCAAATTTAAGATAATAAATTGGGTGTTTTCTCTAACATGGACGTGCTCCTTCTCCATGCTTATTTTGTCATACAAATCGATGTTGACGATCCTATTTTTGTGATTTATTTTGATGTACGTGTCTGATATTAGGAGGTCTTTTGCCTTTTCTACTTCTACTACGTGTTCGTCGTAGAAGCACAGGTCTTCTATGCATCTGACATCGGAGAAGACGCTTTGGTTCCGCTGGTCACCTTCGCCGCTTGCTTCCTTTTTCAGCCTTATCTCCACGGAGTCGAAGTTTTCTCTCCAGGTGAGTTCCATGGGGTGGGCAACCGGTGCGTAAGGAAGCGGTACGTAGGGAAGCAATTTGCGTAGAAGCAGCTATCGTGGAGATGGTCTACACGTCTTTCCGTTTTCCACGTTAGCCCGAGAAAACAAAACAACGGGGGATGAAGAAGTAACGAATGGCTAAAGTCGGAGCACCAAGCCGGAGTGTAGCCCAAAATGGGATCAGTTTCTACGAACCTTAGGTTTAGGAAATTTTCTCCACGTTGAATCTATCAACACAGGATTGAACACTGATAACCGCGTGGAAGTTTTTTCGTGCCTAATTTTGTTGCGTAGAGTTTATTTTTGCCTTTTTTTTGCTTTTTTTTTAGGGAACTGATTTGGGGTGTAGAACGTGAAATAAGAGTTGGACACTAAAACGGGGGAAAATTTTCACAAAAATGATACAGACGGGATAAAAAAAATAAATAAATAAAAATAAATAAATACATAAAAAATAAAGAAGCTATGGGCATTAGAGAAAGATTTCCTTCTTCGCTTATTCAACAGAAAGCTGGAAGTGGACCTGTACGCGTGGGAGAGGGTGAAAAATTGCCATGACGTCGAAATGGGGTGAAAAAGGGGACAGAAGTAGGCCAAACATGGGACCATAATGAGATGAAAATGAGGTCAAAATGGGACAAAAACAAAGTGACGTTCGCGCACACCTCTACAAATTCCGACTAATCACGTCAAAATAAACGCACCCAACGAGAAACGAACACCTGAGGCAGGTAAATACACAAAAAAATAGGGCAAGCAATGAGGACATGGGGAGGAACCGATTCATGGGGATGCAAAAAAAAAAAGTACGCTCTTGTAAAAACGCTTTCCTCTCTAACCTCGTGGTCTATTCCGTAGAAGGTGTCACTATGTGCGTACACGGCAAAGTGGTACGTCCCCTGTACTAGGTCTTCCAAACTGCATGCAGGAAAAAAAAAATAATAATAAAATAAAACTAATAAACAAAAAAAAAACAAAATGGTGACAAACAGAGGAGATATTTGAGAACGACGTGAGGGAATAGGAGACGAAGATGAAGACATAAAATGCTGGGTATAGCCCTTGCATCTGTCGCGTGTATCCCCAAAATAAGTGAGGCAGTTGGGGCAGGTTCCCTACGTGAACGAGACGGATGATGTTTTCTTTAGGGCCGAATTGTTGAAGCGCTTGATGGAAATCGATTCGTCTTGATCACAATCGTGCAGGATGGCGTACCTATTCGGCAAGGCAAGAGGTGCGAAGATGTTAGAAAGCACGGGGTAGGCTTATGGAAAAAGTATGTGTTTCAGTTCGCAAGGCTCTGTTCCCTGATAAGCATAGGAAACCATGCGTAGGCACAAATGCGTACACACAGCAAGTGCACAGCTGCTCTCCCTACCACTGCACATTCGCACTAGGGGTGGCACCAGAAATGGCATCCTGCGACGCTTTATGAAAGAAACAAAAAAAAACTCTAATGACAATTTCGTTCGGATCATGATGTTTCATTTGAAAAAAAAATTTATTTTCATTTTTTAGATGACTCACACAAGGAATGCTGACAATGTTATATTTCTTTTGCGGAAAATCGTTACTAAGGTTAATACTTTTGCGAAATAATTTGATGCTGCTAGTTAGAGAGGGGATTTGAAAAATAAAATCCAACTGAGAGGTATGGAAGATGTTAAGTGAATATAAAAAGGATTTATCAAATTTTAGTAGGTCCTTTAAATTTTTGATTTGCAATTCTGCCAATTTGGCTAGCTGACTGTCCTTTATGTTCTTAATCAGGTGCAGGGAATTTTGGCTGGGCTGAATTTTCTGGTTAATGCACTGATATATGAGGATCAAATTTTGTATATAATTATACTTGCCAAAGAGTAAGCATATGTCAATGAATCCGTTAATAACTCTTGCTATTTGATCCATGACTAATTTCAAGTCGATGTTATAGTCTACCGTTTCGTAGGTGCATTCATACAGACGGGAGAGGAGCAGGAGATACGTTTTGACATTTTTCATATTCATGTCGATGTCTAGGGGAATTTGGTTTCTCAGTTTCACGTTGTACTTGTCTTCATTGTGCCTCAGGGGGACGTCATCAAACTCCCTGGCCTGCGCGATCAGGGCGAACAGCCCGTAAAAGTTGAGTTCCTTTGCCTGCGCGAGGTGGCGGCGATGATGACGGCGGCGCGATTGGCCGTGGTTGTTACCATCGTCACGGTGGTCGGGGGTGGTTGATTTCTCCTCCACGCAGTGATCTTCGTTCGGTGAGCCGCTTATCTCCTCGTTTATCTCGCCGCTTATCTGATCGTTTATCGCTTCTCCATAGGTGTCTTCCCCCAAGTCCATGGCTGCCTCTCCGTGATCTACCACATGGTTGCCATTTTCGAGGTGTCCACTGTGCTCTTCCGTCTTATCATTTTCGCCTTCCACACCATTAGGCCGCCCACAACTCTGCTCAATCATTTTGTAAAAAAAAGACACCGTTTCACATTTCAAGTAGTACACGGAGGCAATATGCCCCAGGGGGGTTGCGCAATAAGTGTGCATGTAATCCTCCATCGTCACTTGTATGCACTTATTGATCTGCAAAAAGCTGATTGTACTGTCGATAATTTTGTTCACATGCTCATATATAACCTTCTTGGCTTGATTAGACAACGTGTTATTATCAAATAGTTGGACATATTGCACATCTTTGATGTAGTAAGAGGGGTTCGAAAAGAGTCTTTTAAAGTAATACGACTTGGTAAGGTAGTTAAAAATGTCTTCCCTGTTGTTTATAACTTTGGAGCAAATTTCTGCATTTATGTGTTCATTTAAATTTTCAAGAATATTGGATTCTATATTCATAGGATGATAGAGAAAATTTTTTATTGCATTTTTTCTTCTTTCTTGGACTAGCAAAATGGCTAAAGCTTTGTCGTCAAATTGTGGTCTTCCAGCTCTGCCAATCATCTGTAGTAAATCTGTGTAGGAAATATCTTTGTACTTCTTCGTTTTGGCGTCGTAGAATTCATTTCCCTTTATGATTACTAGATAGGCTGGGAGGTTAATTCCCCATGCTAAGGTGGACGTGCATATAAGTATCTGAATTATTTTATTTAAAAAAAAATATTCTACAATGTTTTTGTCATTTTCATTTAGCCCAGCATGATGGATTCCTATTCCGTACTTGAGCAAATCTTTCAAGTGTTCATTTTCGATTATGTTCAGGTAGTTTTGGAATAGCATGTTAGCTACTTGCGTTTTTTCTTCTACAGATAAGTTTTTGTTCATTAGGGCGGTGTAATCGGGCAGATCATTTGGTTCGTCGTCACCACTGTCGTTGTCCAAATGGCTGTCATCGTCATGTCCTCGTGCGAAATGATTCGAGTTAAAGCTACGACGACGACCTTGGTGCTCACTTGGTTCCTCCCCATGTTTTGGAATCCCTTTTTTTTTTTTTTTTTTTTCTTTTTCCCGTCCTTTTTTTTACTACTGTTAAGTAAAAACTGGATATGGCTTTTATCATTCAGCAAATTTTCCGTATGCAAAAAGTTGAGGTTGTGAGAACTGAGATTCAGGGAAATTATGTCGTATCCCGTAACTCTGGTTTGTCTCCTGGACGAAACAAATATTAGTACATTCTTAGATTGTGCATATTGGTTAATAGCATCGAAGACGTTTTTGTTCATTACGGACATTCGTGCGCAGTATGCCTTTTGGGTGAACCCTAGAATGTGCGTTTTACAAGGTACTATGCGGCATGAGGACGGGAAATTAAAAAGGTAGTTTTCTTTCACATCTAGCCATAAAATCAAATCGTCTACACTCGTGATGACGGTGGTTAATCCAACGAGTCTTATTTTTCTATTCAAGTACTGTTCCATATTTTTAAATCGATTAATTAAAATTTCAATGACACCTCCTCTGTTTTCCTGCCCCAGTAAATGTATCTCATCAAAAATGATCAAATTGACGTTTTGCACGAATTTTTTATTTTTCCAATTTCTGGATATAACGTCTAATTTTTCCGGTGTACATATTATTATGTCACTTTCTGCGATGTTTTCTTTATTTTCGTTCTTATCTCCTGTCAGTTCAATTACGTTTTTGTTTAGGAGGCTCTTAAATTTGCTCGTCCAGCTCTTGTGTCGCTCATTTACAATGGCTTTCATGGGGCATACGTACACGGCTTTTTGGCGTTCGTGGTGCAGCAGGTTCCTCAGGATGCACAGCTCTCCGATGACGGTCTTGCCGCTTCCTGCGCGGGGTTAATAGGTTGTGCGGTTAAGAGGTTGTGCGGTTAAGAGGTTGAGCGGTTAAGAGGTTGAGCGGTTAAGAGGTTGAGCGGTTAAGAGGTTAAGCGGTTAAGAGGTTAAGCATTTAAGAGGATATGTCGTTGTGCAGCACGCGCTGCGTATGGCGATATGCCCATGGCGTGGTGCTTCGCGCGCTTGCTGCCGCGCTCCGCACCGGGGCAGATTCACCGTTAAACACAGCGCTAACGAAGCCGCTTAGCAAGGCTACCTGTAGGGGCCCCCAGAAGGATATTCTCGTCCGTGTGGAACGTCGCGTGGAACATCTGAGTCTGAATAGGGTTGAAGTACCGGAAGGGAAAGAACTTGATGTAGCTAGCGATTTTCAAAATTTGCGTCGATAGGGGAATGACGGGAAGGATTTCGGAAAATATATTAATTTTCTGATTAATGAACAAGTTGTTTGTATTGAAAATATGGACGTAGGACAAATTGCACCAATTCATGGATAAAAACTGGACAGTGATTTGAGGGGGCATTTGATTTGAGAGAGGGAATTCGAAAGAAATGTCATGGATTTTTTTCCTGTCTTTTTTATGAATAGAGAACTTTTGGAAATATAAAATGTCATTATTGAGTGTATTCAATAAGAAAAGGTGAAAGTTTTCCTGAATGTCATTCCATTGGTCTGACCAAATAGTATTGGTGAGTTGCACTTGGAGATTTATTTTCATGATCGTCTGTGTTATGGGCTGAATGTATCCTTCGATGTGTAAGTTTGGAATTACATTCTTGTAGTACAGAATTTGGTTGGTGTAGACTTCATTTCTTAGAAAGAAAAGAAGTTCGCTTTTGGTTAACGTGTCGACAGATTCGTGTGTTAGTTTTTTTTTTTCTAGAATGTTTACCACGGACTCTTTTAGGTAGACCGTGTAGTTTTGATTTTTCCGGTATCTCCCCTGTGGTGTGTCATGGAAATCATGATTATGACCGTACTCCTGCTCCTCGGAAATTTCTCTCGGATTTACGTACTTCCCCCTGTAGAGGAGATGGTTCGTGTGAGAAGCTGCATTATCTTCTGGGGGAGCGTTTCTGTTTTTCCCCCCTTTGGCGGGGAGGCTAGAAAATGTCATGTTCTTCTTTTCTAGTAACTCGTTTCTGTAGCAGAAATGCCTGAAGACGCAAGAGTTGATGGGAAGTCTCCTCAAAATGGATACAATAAGATTATGGGTGTTCATAATTAAGTTGGAAATATTTTTGAGGATGTTAAGGCATATTTCATAGTAGGCATATAAAATGCGGATGATGTTCTGTATGACATAGTTAATTTCGCAAATGAGGGAGAAGTTATTTATTTGTATCCTTCTCAGATAGGATTCGATCAATATGCGTAACGTCATGGATTTTGATTCGTCGTACTGTTCCTTAATTTCACATCTACTTTTTAACCACAGGAAATCGTTCATGTCTTCATTTCGAATTTGTATATTTTCGAATTCTTTTGATTTGCTGATAACGTCGATGACTTCTACGTAATTGCTTCGGTCAATGTTTGCCGCGAAAATGCCGATGGTTTGATAATCCACATAGTACTTGGCTGCTATGTGTCCATAGAAGGTTCCTATAAAGTCGTTTGTCAGGAGTACTCTCCTTACTAACTTATTTTCACTCAAGTTTTGAATCGTCTTTAGGATAATTTCCTTTCTTTTGTTGTACAGATGTATGTCTGTGGTCAGATCGGCATCGTACAGGTTGGGGGTTTTTTTCATTCTGACGTACAGGTAGGTATATTCTAGCCACTTGATGCCATCCTCCACATTTTTGGTTGTCCCTATGCTTATTTCTGCGTTTAAGTGATTTTCTATATTTTTTAAAAAGCTCGATTCGATGATGGTATTATTGGTTAGCAGTTTGATATACTTGTACAGTTTTGTCCTTTCCGTTATGAGGATAGCATGTCCGTGATCTTCGTACTGCGGTCTGCCGCATCTTCCGAATATTTGGTTAATGTCGAGAATGTCCATATCTTCCATTTTTCCGCTTTCAGAGGAGAAAAAATTGGTACCTTTGATGATGACGGTATGGACAGGTAGGTTAACTCCCCACGCTAGAGTAGAAGTGCAGCATAATACATTGAAGGCCTTTTTTTTGAATAAATCTTCCACCAATATTTTGTCCGATCTCGACATGCCCGCGTGGTGCACGGAGCAGCCAAATTCATAAAACTGTTTCACATACATGTTATTCGATTTTTTAATTCTCTTATTTATGTTACTATCTGTGTAGAGGTTAGTGACGAAGTAATCGATCTCACCATTTTTCACAGCATAGTCTATTAGGAATTGTATCGTTTTATTGGTGTCATTTCTTGAGCACACAAAGATGATGCACTGCTTGTCTTTCCTCAGCGCATTTATAATTTCGCCATAGGCATATATATTTTTGGCTGTATTCAACTTGTTCATATTTTTTTCATGTATTCCGTAGAGCGTTTTGTCCAGCTGGATGGATCGGTAGCTTTCATTGAAGTAGAAACACATGTCCTTTTCCACTTTTAGAAAATCCCTCACGTCGTTGTAATTCGGTAGCGTGGCTGACATGGCCATTATCCTTCTCACCGACTGGGACGTTTCCGAGTATCGTAAAAATCGAGCAACAATCGTTTCGATCACGTCACCTCTGTCTGTATTTAGCAAATGTACTTCATCAAGGATCAGGCATTTGATGTGCTTAATTAATGACTCGTCAGATACCGTGGTGGAGTAACTGCTATTTCTTAAAAGGATGTCTAGCTTCTCCGGGACGGTTACTATTATGTGCACTTCTTCCAACTGTTTGGAGGTAAGGCTGTGCTCCTTTGTGTACTCGCACACCTTTAGGTTAAAAATTTTTAGCTTCCTTTGGAAGAGGTTGGTTATTTCGAAGACGAGGGATTTCATGGGGGCTATGTAGATAATTTTGAATTCTTTTGCGCTTATGGAGTTTCCACCGCGGGAGGGGGCCTCGTCGCTGGCGCCCTCGTCGCTTGGGGGGTCCTCATTCAGGGGATCTCCGGTGGGGAGGTCCCCAATTGGGAGATCCTCATTTGTGGGGTCTTCATTTGGAGCGTCCTCATTTGGAGCGTCCTCATTTGTGGGGTCTCCATTTAGTGGGTCCCCTTTTAACCGGTCCTCACTTGGGAATTCCCCTTTCAGGGGGTGATGGATCACCTGTCCGTTTCGCTGCGCCTTATGTATGTTTGCATGGTTAATCTCCTGGGTGCTCCCGTCGTCACCGCAGCGGACCAGGTAAGCCTGGGCGACTCTTTCCAGGCTGATCCCGTTCTGTTCACAGAAGAGGCTAATCTGCTGCAGGATGACCAACAAGGCGATGTTGGTTTTTCCACACCCAGTGGGCGCCGAGACGAGTAAATTCTTATTCGTCTGAAAAGCAGCCTTAAAAACTTTGGACTGTACATAGTTAAAATGTTCGAACTCGAAAATGTATCTGTGCCAAAAGGGCAACACCTTGACGGGAACTAACTCGTCTTTACTGAATTGAAAGTTCTCTAATCTGTTGATCCTCACTTTGGTCACATTGTCTGTGTAGGAGTAGGAGGTATTTCTGGGCACCTGGATTTCTTCCAATTTGTTCTCTTCATTAGGTATGTAAATTTTTTTCACATCTCCAAAATTGTTTTCTCTTAATGTATATAGAAAGAAATCTACAATTTTTTCGATGTTTTCCTTTTTTATGAAAATATTTTTTCTGCTGTTAATTCCGTCCATCGTTTTATCAGTTATGAAGAAATTCGATGCGAGAATTTTTTCCTTTACATCCACATACTTGCTTAACAGTTTGATATCTCTTTTTATGTTTTCCTTGTTCTTAATAATGTTGAATATGAAATCGATGTGTTCTTCTCCTAGAAGGTCCAGGAGGCTATTTTCCAAATTGTCCCTTGTCATAGTTGTGTAGATAATTTCTGTAAGAAGTTCGTTCATTTCGTTTAGGCTTATCTTTTTGATTTGATTTCTTCTGTTCAGAATGATGTACCTGTCTGTGCCTTGGCTGAATGCTTTTCCGCTATTTAAAATTTGTTCGCAGGTATCATGCACGTACATCAACCCCGATTCTCCTCCTTCGAGGTGATCCTCCTCATGGTCCTTCGATCGCCTCTTCGCTTTCGACGGCTCTCTCTGCTTGTGGGTGCCATTCCGCATGTGCTTCTTCTCCTCGCGCATCAGGCGCAGGAGTTTCCGTTGCAGGGTGTTGCCCCATCTGCCCCTGCGATGGACGCATCGGCTCCAGCTACGCCTGTGGCTGCTGTTGCGGCTACCATCGAGACTGCTATGTAAACTGCTATGTAAACCGCTATCTAGACTGCCATATGAATTGCTATCTAGACTTCTATCTAAATTGCTATCTAAACTGCTATCTGAACTGCCATATGAATGGCTACCTAAACTGCTATCGCCGCCGCTGCGATTGCGACTTCCCGCACGCCCTACTCCGCCGCAACTTCTGGAGAAGGAGCTCCTCTCTATGTACGCCACCGCCTCGTCGATGTCGTACGTCCCGTGCTTGATGGAGTATTCATAGTACGAATTTCCCTTCAGTCGATTGTTTAATCGCGGCTTCATTTGTCCGCCCTTGCCCTTTCCCTCCTGCAGACAGGCGTTAATATGTGGTTGCGCACGTACACGTACCCTTGTGGGCAAACTCACTTACGGCGTTAGCGCTTTATCGTGTTGTGAGGCCTTGCCGAGAAGGACCCAAAATATTGAGAGACACTATATCGTTTCAGGCGTTTCTATGTTTATTTGTTGGCAACAAAAATGGTGGTCTTTTTTTCTGTAATGATAAATGAGACGACTTCACGTGGCACTGCCAAATTTCGAATGTATGTTGCAGGTAAGCAATCCTTGCATATATACACATATGGTTAGCACTTTTTATGGCACTATACCTCAGCACGATGAGCATACTTCGTTGTAGAGGATTTCGAAGTTATGATTCCTCTACATAGTTTGGCTTTGTTTTTTTCTTTGTGCTCTTCTTTTCACCTCAAGTGATGCGTAATTAACTGGCCAGGTGAGGGGCTTTGTCCTTACACAGCATTTATTCCGATTTGCGTTCATAATTTAGGGGCCCTCTATGAAAAGAGTTTTCTGACCAAGCGGTTAAAAAGTGTCCCCTCTTGTATAGCATTATGTGCTGATCCTCTTTTGGGGTAGGCTACATCTGCATACGTTGCTACTCGTACGTCAAGTGTAGAACTTCGACTAAAGAATGAAAATGTAAATGAGCGCTTTTAACCCCTGCATTGTAAATAGTGGTCATCTGATCAGCAGGATAACGTGGTGGCAGAATGAATGGATCCGAAGTTGCCCATATAACCTTGTGATGCACAAAAAAAAAAGCGGTACCTTTCTACAATAAAAAAAAAAGAAAAAAGGAAATCCCTTTCTTTCCCCTGAGGCAATTCTGTGAAAAAATGACTAAAAAGTTCTGACGCCACTTAACAGTAGGGTTAAAGGGGAAAAAAAAGTAATAATTAAGCAAATTGGGAAATAAAAAAAATTATTAAAAATATGCGGGAAAAGTATTATTTTTTTTTAAAAAAGATTAGTTATTAGTGTATGTCCCTCCCCCTGCTGGGGAATGGGGGGCACTTCCTACACATGTAGGGCGTAGGGGGGAAAATACAATAACGGGTAATACAACTTGACAGTGATGCATTTGTGCAAAAAAAAAAAAAAAAAAAAAAGGAAAGGCAAAAATAAAACAATTGCGATTCTTAAAGCAAAGGCACAGGGAAAATAATATATCAGGGAGAAATTCCAAAATAACGAGATGGTGAAAAGTGCCAAAGGGGTGATAAAAAGGGGGCGAGGGGTATGCGAAAAAGAAAGCACAACATTTTACCCAGTTATATATAAAAGAAAAAAAAAAATAAATAATACAGGAGAAGAAAAAAGATGCAGTAGAATCAGGACAACATCTGGACATAAGAGGAGGAGGGTAAAAGGAAATGGCACTACCTCCATCAGTTCCATGCCTGGGTGCTCTCTTTTCGCGGTGAAGTTAAAATTGGGTTTGGGTGGTTCGCTTTCCCCTTTAGCCTTTCTCCGGGTGAGGGGAGTTACAAAGGCATACATATGGACACGCGGAGAGACTCGCAAATTCATCTGCTTCGCACAAATGGGTCGTAAGCGGTCTGCACACCACTGGAATGATGGTCAAAGGGTCAACACCCGCAGCAGGCGGGGTCTCCATGAAATTCCTTGTGGACGTCCAACCCATCGGTGGAGCTTTTCCCACACGTGACAAACTTATGTCCAAATAGGAAGAAACCAATCGATAGGCCAGCCACAACGGCGACGAATAAGCCCACATTGAAAGTCATAACGATTAGCATTAATAAGTAGTCCCATGAATAAATGATAAATGACAGCACAGATCTGGCTAAATTGTTTTTAAAAAGAATTACACTCGTCATTACGTTTGTGTCTTTGGTTTGCGGCAGGGCCTGTTCGGCGTGCAGTCGGAGCAGCTTCAGTAGGACTGAGAATACGCCGAAAAGGAGGCATATGGCAAGGGAGATGTAGTAGGACGTTTCCTGGAGGGCAATGAAGGTGTAAAGTCAATGTATAGGTGGTGAAAATATGAGATAAGATAGTGAGCGGGTGGCCAGCATGAGACTAGCAGACGGAAAGCAGATGGTGTGCGACACGGTGTACCGCTTAACAACCCCCGTGGCGGCCTGCGTGACTTCGAATACGGAGATCAACCACTACTGAGAGGGGATCTTCGCTCGCATTACCGTTTTGGTTTCCCAGAATTTAAACAAAATAATCGTGTGCGTGGAAAGTTGAAATGTCATGGGCATTGGCATGGCCATGCTGTGGCCTGTGATACTTCCACCTCCATCATCGCCGCCATTTTCATGGGCAGCTCCATGCAGTTGGAAGTTATTTTCCTGCTGACCCTTCATGTGCTGCTGAATTATATTCCTATACAATTTGAAATTGTCCCAGCAGTCATAAATAAAGGCCAGTTTTTTTTTGCAGCAGTTATGGGCACATTTTACATGTAATGAAGGTGTGCACTCTGCATTATCCCTTGAATTTTTATCATCCTCTGAATTCTTGTCATCCGCTGAATTCCTGTCATCCGCTGAATTCTTGTCATCGTTTTTTTTCTCCTTGGAGTTCCCCGTTGAGCCTTTTTTCCCACAACAGCTGTGTCCTTTGTTTTCGTTGTTCTCTGGTCCATTCTTCCCGTTGTTCTTTTGGGCCGTCGTTCCACCCATGGTCAGTAAGAAATTTATAACTAGAATTATTAAAAGCACATTCCAGATGTTTTTATTCATTTCTGTTTTGCTTGTTTGGGGTAGTAAAAAAAAAAGGGAAAACGATTACACCTAGGGAATGGAAAAAAAATCATATCAGAAATGACTAAGAAGTTAAACAGAGTAGAATGAGATTAACCACGTAGATGATTAACTTTTAGGATCTTTTTTTTTCTTTTTTTTTTTCCCTTCACCCTTGGGCACATGAATAAATAAACTACACGTGATGTACAGTTATACACGTATGCATAATGATTTAGGATGGCTCTTCGTAAGTTATTATTTTTCTCCAGGAAGTGCTGCGCAAAGTTTATATTCACCTTATGCTATTTTCACAAGGAAAAAAAAAAGAAAAAAACGCACCGTCACCACGTGCAATGTGATTGAAGCATACACATGAACACAGCAAACCCACGCGTAGAACATCAAGCAGGCTGTACAGCGGGAAGCGCGATTTAATTTGTTATCGTGTGTTTGTGTAATTTTGCACAAAATAGGGATGCATAAATGTATGCCTTATTCTGCAAAATTGGCAATTGCCCATGTGGTTAAGCACATTTTAAAGCTTGAAATTCTTTG